TTAAAAAAAAAAAAAAAAAAAAAAAAGACCATCTTCCCCCAAACATAACACCCAGGCGTTGTATTCCAATGCGAAAATAAAAGGCCTCTTTTAGATGTCCGCCGTGCAGCGATTTGTACGCACCCACGTACGAGTACCTGTACTTGTATGTGAGGGGTGCCAACCGTGCCAGACATTTTTATTTTTCATCCCCTCTCCCCCCCCCCAAAGGTGTTGGGCTCTCCGGTAGTTCCTGTGAAGCCTGTACACTCTAAAGCCGCATGAGACCAGTGTTTTCGGGTGGCATATGACATAAAACAGCCCTCCCCCCCGTGGCCCCCACCCAAACACACGGTTGAGTATTGAACAACCATGCACTTGGCCCTGTTTTGTTTTTGTCTTTTTTCTTAAAGGACCACTACCTTTCATGCTGTGGCGAAAAGTGGGAATATAACCTATACCGCATTCTCCGGGGGCTGGACCCAACGGCGGCCGCCGTTGATAAATGTCATCAGCGGCCGCTGTTTCGCTTCGGCCTCTGAAACGAGTGGGAACCCTCCCCGCCTCTGTTTCGTTTCGGCCTCCGAAACGAGTGGGAACCCTCCCTGCGGTCGAGGTACAGGGAAGGTAGTGGAGGTTCAAGGGAAACAAAAATTCAAAAGATACCGGGGGTACCAACTTGGGCCATTGTTAAAAAGCTGCCTGCCAGTTAGTAAACACTGACAGGCTGCTGTTTACCAACAAGCTCAGTTGGTACACCCGTGAACTTTTGAAGTACAGTGGACTGCCGAGTGGACGAAAGTGATTTTGAATCAGCTGAGGCCAGTCAGTTCAATGATCGCCATCCTTATCATTGAACAGATTCCCCTCAGGCAATTTGGAATGAATCTAATCATCTGATTCCACATCTCACTGATCTGAACTTCTGAAGGCTATCGCCCTTTACAAAAAAAAAAAAGGACGAAAAAAAGGCTCCTGTTTTTTTTTTCTGGAGGTATCTAGCTGCAGCAACAGGTCCTACTGCCTGTCGCTGGCGCATTACCACCCCCCCAACCCCAACACACACACACACACAATCAGTCATATATATGTCTGTCTTTCTCTTGGTTTTTTTTTTTTGTGCGTGCGATTTT